AGTAGTAGTAGTAGATTTGTAGCAGTAGTAGTGGTAGTAGTAGTAGTAGTAATAGTCGTAGTACTAGTAGTAAAGTAAAAGTATAGTAGTAGTTTAGTAGTAGTAGTGGCTCATAGTAGTAGTCAGAGTATAGTAGTAGTAGTATATATAGTATGTAATAGTCGTCGTAGGAAGTAGTAGTAGTGTAGTAAGTAGAAGTGTAGTAGTGTTAGGAGTAGTCGTAGTAGTAGTAGTAAGTAAGTAGTAGTTAGTGTAGTAGTATATGGTAGTAGTAGTAGTACCAGTAGTAGTAGTAGTCGTAGTAGTAGTAGTAGTAGTAGTAGTAGTAGTCGTATTAGTAGTAGTAGTAGTAGTAGTAGTAGTAGTAGTAGTAGTAGTAGTAATAGTATTAGTAGTATTATTAGCAGTAGTAGTCGTAGCCGACTGAACTGGAGACAGAGGGCGCCTTGCGAGCGAGCCCACGCGGGCAGCCTTCGCCACAAGGTCGGCGCAGGCGGCTTCGCTCCTCTGCGCCCTGCCCACGCGATTGGCCACGTGCGCGCGTCGAGGCCCCATGCCCTCGAGCGCCCACCGGCTGAGAGAGGTATGTGGGCTCCTCCCGGGGCTCCGGCTTACCAAGCGCGCTGGTGGATAGATGCAGACGCGAGACTGGATACATATACGTATACATATAGATATATGTGTATGTGTATATGAGTTTGTATATGTATATGTATATGTATATGTACATGTACATGTATATGCACATGTACATATATACGTGTACATTTGTGTATCTATACACATATACATAATATAGACGTGGTACATTCTTAATCGTGCCAATTTCTGATTGTGCACGTTTCTAATTGTTCCTGGCCCCCTAGTCGCCAGGAAGAGGCCCAGGACTGAACAATCAGAAATGAAAGGATCTTGCCCCCCCGGAAAAACGAAGAACTCTCGAATCCTTAGAAATGAACAATGTGAATCTAAACACACATATATATATGTATATACACGCCGGTCGGAAGAAACAGGTCAACACATTAAGAAAGAGGGCGGCGAACGTAGTTTGGGTCCCGGCTCTCCCAGAGAATAGCAAACAGACAGCAAGAGCGCAGTGATTCTTGAAGTAGGCAGACACTCGAAGTATATTGGGGTCTGAGAGTCCAAAACTACTTTCTCTGGACGACCAGCTTGTAATATGGAACACATGCGAGACCACATCATCGGTACAGTGGCCCTCAAAGCATCGGACTTAGTATAGTTATTATTCGTGGGGCTCTGATGCTGAGCAATTGGGTACCACGGGCGATAACAAACCCCCTCGGATAATAAAGTTCGCGGTTCCCGCGGGGATAATAAAGGATTTTCCCGGGGAGGGTAACTTAACTATGATGATGATGACGATGACAACGATGATGGAGGAGGAGGAGGAGTAGGAGGTTAAACCTGGCGCACGACAGAAGCCTGACTCGAGCGATCTCGAGGCTCGTGGCGAGTTACTTGCCCGCAGAGGCGCACTCTTCTAGATGCGCGGGGAGATCGGGAGAACACAGAGGATGGCACTAACAATCGATCCGCATACTTATAGATGCGTTAATACACTGATACCTATCGAACACGGATCTGCCTAGATCTTGGGCGCGCCTGCCAGGCTGGGTCTGGAGCGCCCCTGGAGGGCCCCAAGATGGCCCCTTCATGCCCCAAGAGAGCCCTAAGACGAACACGAGGGCTCCAATAGGCCTTTCAGAGAGTCCCAAAGGGCCCCGAGTCGCTGAGCGATCGGCCCAAGACGCTCCTGATGGGCTCCAGACGGCCCATGAAGCCTCCAAGACCCTCCCAGAAGCCTCCAAGAGTGCTTCCAAGAAAGCTCCAGGAGGAAAACATCGTCCCATTCCCCGCGTAAGACGTGCATTTTGAGCGTATGCGCCTTTTCTGTCTTCACGGCGGCCAAGACGGCCCAAGAGGCCTTCCAGACCACCCCAAGACGGCCCAAGAGACGCCTCAAGAGGTCCCCAAGACAGTCCAAGGAGCGCCCAAGATGGCCCAGGAGGGCCCTTCAGAGGGCACCCAGAGGGGCCCGCCCCAATGGGGCCCCCGATGCCGTGAGCAGGCCCCCGCGAGGCTCCAAGAGGCCCCCGAGAGGCCCAAACGAGGCCCCTCCAGGCCCCCAAACAGCCCCCATGAGGCCTCCCGGCAGGCCCCAGCAATCAGCTCTGACCTCGCGACTCACAAACGACTGTGCGCCATAGCCGTCCCAACCCGATTCTATACCGAACCGAAGAACCTATTCAGCACGGCGACGGTCGGAACGTCAATACATAGATAGATAGATAGCCTGAACCCGACAATCTTGTCATCTCATGGGGGGGGGGGTTTTCGCCGCCGTCCGCCGACCTTCCGCTGGCAGAAGCGGCGTCGTTCTACTTCCGCCGCCTTCCGTTAGCCTTCTGCCGAAGAAGAGATGACAGCTCCTTCGATCCTCGAACGTGAGACCCTTTCTGGAGTGCCGCAGGTGCCAAGAGTATTTATATCGCTGGCATCGCACGGGGTTTCTCCAGTCGTTGTCTTGAGGCAAAGAAAAATCAGACGACAATCAAAACGGCAATCGGAAAATACTATATTCTACGGTGGCAGCGGACCGAACACACAGCTCTGAAGGTCCGAGTGTCTCATGCCGTCGTGGCCCGAACGTCCCACCACACGAGCGCGACGGCTGCGTCATCACGGCCCCTCTCCACTCGCTGCGTTTTGTTTGACCTACAGCTCCTCTTTGTCGGCATGGCCCGCATCTTCGAGCTCCTTAAAGGTTGCCTTGCCGTCTCCGTCGGCATCGGCGTCCTGGACCTTCTTCTGGAGCTCCTTCGCCAGCCAATCCTCTTCCACCTTGAGCTCTGGAGCTTCGAGCTTCGCATAAGCTGCGGCCTCCTCGAGGCTTATCGCCAAATCCTGGTTCGTATCTGCTTTCACGAGGTCTGTCCTTTCGAAAGTGACCGTCTGTTCCTGATCGGGAGTTTCGCCAGAGACCTTCGCAGCTAACCACGGCAATGCAAGAGCGAGCAGCACGTGTCTCATGAAGACCTGCGAACACTGCTTCGGGTCGGGCCGATATGTTCTTTCTCTTGTAACACCACTTGAGCCACTGGCTACGGTGGGAGGGGATGTGGGCATACCAAAACATCAGATTCTGTTGTTGTCGTGCCCACTAGACACAACATGTACCACCCAGCAACGTGTCAGCTGCAGGCGCGCTCGCGCGCGCTCCCAGAGGCTTAAAGCACGCAGCCAGGCAGGGCCTGAACGAGAGCCAGGCTGGAAAACAAATGCAGTAGCCACCCACGATGGGACATCTTGAAGTCTTGGGGCACATCTTCGACCTCTGCGGTCCACCCAAAGCCATGGGAAGATCAGCAGCTTTCGTGGGATTCCTGCTGGTGAACTTATAAGAAGAAAGCGAAAGCATGCACACTGGGGGGCCCAGCGCGGATCCGAGAAGCCCGCGCGGAGCGCCAGAAAATTATGCTCATGCCGTTGCCTCGTCTTCGATTGCTCTCTAACGTGCCTGTTGCACGCCTATGGCACCTCCCAGGCCTGACCGAGCACCGGCTCGACGCGGGCCCCTGGGCCCCTGCCAGGGCCATTCCTGACCAGGGCTTCTCTCATCCAGAATCGATGCTGGACGGACCCCGGGCCCGGCACGAGCCCACAGATTGCGACATCGAGCCAATGGTATTGGAAGATGACGATTGCTAAATGACCGGGATGACGATTAGAAAAAACCGGCCGCGGGCTGGAAAACTATTTCTTTAATCGTTCTCCTCCAGTCAGAAAACTGTGCAGAAATAGCAGGGAACTATGTTCAAATCGTTCTCTCTCAATTTCTATTAATCGTCATCCCGCATTATACGTTGTTCGACCCCTGTGGAACAGTCTTCCGACCTGGCGTGGGATGCAGAGCGGCGCGCGGGGCATGCCGTCTGGTCCACGACTGGTGCACCACCCCGCGCCGAGCACAGTCCCACGTCGAGGGCGACGATCGTGCCACTCCCTCACCGTGCTTCCTCCCATGCTATCTCTCCTCCTTCCCCCTCTCCCTCCTCGCTCCCCTCCTCCCCCCTGCCCTCTCCTGCTCGCTCCTCTCCTCCCCCCTGCCCTCTCCTCCTCCTCCTCCTCCTCCTCCTCCTCCTCCTCTTCCTTCCTTCCTTCCTTCCCTCCTGAGTGACTGGCTCAGGAGGGGGAAACGCCTCGGCCTGGAATCGGCGACACGTCGCCGATAGTTCGGTGGCAACTCATGGTAGCCTCCCAAACCACCCCAACCCAACCCGAAGACCCGAAGTTCGGGTTGGGGGGGGGGGGGGGTACGGATTCCAGATGTGTTTTTGACAATGTTCCCCGACCCCCCCCACTGGAAGTGGAAGGCAAATTTAAGCCTTCGGGTTGTGTTGGGACGGTTTGGTGGGTGGTGACTCATGGGAGCCTCACATACCATCTTGTCGGCTCTTGCGAATCGACGCTGATCGACGCTGAGTCGACGCTCGTAGACGTTGGGTCGACGCTAATCGACGCTGAATCGGCGCTACCCCATCGACTCCCAAACTCTAGCCGACGCTGAAGACGGAATAAAAAGGACATACCAGGCTCCCACGATTTGCTGCCGAGCGATCGATCTGCGACAGGCCCCCGAGAGCGACACCGCACGCTGGCCATCGCTCGGACGCCCACTCCCTGTTCTTGTTGCTCGGTTTCGTGCGCGGTTTTTTCGCAGGATGCTCCAGGATGCTCCTCAATGGCCCCCGCCGAGAAAAAGTGCACACGTAGGGGAACAAAAAATGGCATAAACATAACAACTCGGAGGTCCGCGCGGATGGATAAATACACACAAATAAACACATCCCCATATTTTCCTATATTTTCTGGGTTTTTGTCTTCCCCCCCACTGCCCACATTTTCCCATATTTTCTGGGGCATCGAAGATTAATCGTGTCTGTGTGCTTTTTTCCCTCCTGCAGAACGCACCCTCACGCCTCCGGCCGCGCTCGCGGCGGCGGGGGAGCTCGAGGTCCAGCTCCGCTGCCCGCCGGCAGCAGGGCGGCGGCCCGAGCGAACCCTCGCGCCTCCAGCCGCGCTCGTGGCGGCTGGAGGAGCTCGAGAGCCCGCGCCGCGGCCCGCCGGCAGCGGGCATCCGACGGCAAGAGCCTCTTCAGGCTCTTGCTCGCGGTGAGATCCGTTCGAGGTGTGGGCATGGGCCCGCACTGCCTTCCACGATGCATCTCCTGCACGGGGGCTTCTTGCTGCAGATGGATCAGGTGCGCCGACATTCAGTCGCTGGCACATCGCTTCGACTGAACACTCGATGCGCATCCCAAGGATGCGTGTCCACATTCCTGCTATCTACGCAGCGGCAAGCCGTTCTGAGACATGTCGTCCAGACACGTCGAGGCACATTGCCACGATGCGAAGAAAATGGATAACGGCAACGTTCAATCAAGCAACTGAAAAAACCGTTGGCCGTTGCAAAACACTAAGAACGCTACAACGCTGCATGCACTTGACAGCCCGAGGCATCAGGAGGGCACGCACGCCAACTGAGTCCAGAGGCGGGTCCAGACATGCCACGTCGGACGTGGAAAACACGTTGCCTCCCCCCCCAGGAGTGATCTTTCGCAAGACTGAACCGACCTGGAGACACCGCAGTCGGCATAAACATACCACACAACTTTTGGAGGTCCGCGCGAATTTTCGGGATCCGCGCCAGACCCCCCTCCCTGGCGCGCGGAGCGTGATAGGTGCGGCGCCTCCGGCGCCGCCAGGGGGGCCCAGCGCAGATGCAAGAAACATTTGCTCGGGCCGTCGAAAGTTTATGTGTACACCGTTTTCCCTTCGTCGTAAGACTGAGCCGATCGCCATGATGAGGAGGAGGCTGCTTATTAGAAGCGCGTGGCCGAACAAGACCGAGTCGATCGCCATGAGCTGTGATGACGTCGGCGGTCCAAGACGCGCGCCTGGCCGAGTGATCCACCCAGCCAAAGGCGGGCGACGGCGCTCGAAGACAACGCCGCGCGCCTGGCCGTGGGATCCACCCTGCCGAAAGCGCGCGGGATGGCTTCAACAAGATGCCAGAGCTCGGCAGCGCGCACAGGCAGGGGGGCAGGGCGAGGGGGAAGGCTCCTTAGAAGGAGGCAGCCCGCGGCATCAGGACACGCGCCTTCTAAGAAGTAGCAGCCTTCTAAGAAGCCTTCCCCCCTCCCCCTACCCCCGCTCTGCGCGTGGCCGAATTGTTTCCACAAGACGCCAGGGCACATCTGTAAAGAATCTGGGGCTGGATCTCCAGGACAAGTCCTTTGACGAGGAAAAGCTCGGGTGAGGAAACATCGGGAATCTCTGAGATCCAGCGGCTCTGGAGGATGTCTCGGGCGCCGCGGCTTTCTTTGAGCGTTCCAGAACGCTCCAGAACGCTGTGGAACGGATTTCCCCTCGTCCTAGCCCCGTCCGAAAAGCGCATCTGTAAAGACCCTGGGGCTGGATCTAAGGGCTCATAGGGCCCAAACTCGGTGTGTTAAACTAGCCCTCGCGGCCGGAGTGGCAGGAGATGGTTTAGATCTGTGGGGAGGAGAAGGAGGGTGAGGAAGAGCAGGAGGCGGGCTGCCAGGCGGCCTGGGGCTGTCGCCGCGGGGCTTTTGAATCACGTCGTGAGCTCGGTAGATGACGAGCGAACAACGCACATCCATACCCATGGGGGGGGGCGGAGGGGACTGTGGGTGCGTGTTGTCGGATGGGGGTCCCCCGCACGCCCATACCCATAGCCCGTGGCCAGGTCTCCTCCTTCCGATCGATCCCCCCATGGGTATGGGCTTATCTTGTTCGATCGTCACTCGAGGCTCTCAAACAACGTTGCGGCTATGTCAGCTTGGGGCGGTGGCGACCGCCCGCAGCAAGCTGGAGCTGCGCGTGCAGGAGGAGCCGTCTGCTGGTGAGCACCAAGTCTCCTCCTCTATAACGAAGCCAGGACCAGGATCAAATCGGGTGAGGGTAAATCAGCAAACCTCTGAAATCTGGCGGCTCTAGAAGATCTATCCGGCGCCGCGGCCTTCTCAGAATGTCGGAACGCTCTGGAGCGGATTGATCCTCGTCTTAGCCCCGTCCGATCCTCCTCTCGCGCCCAGCCCCTTCGGAAGCTCTCGCTGCGTCTGGACGTTGCCGCTGTCGAGCTCACTGAGCTTGGCGTCGCACACTTTTGTGGTCGCCGTCGTGCCAACTCTCTGCTCGAAATTCACCGGGATCAGCGGGGGCTTTCTCGAAGTTCTGGTATTGAGAGTCCTGACATCCACAATCACGGCCGCCTCATCCACCGACTTTGTGGCGCCTGCACCATCACCAGCCATTAGCGACGATGGGCACAACATGTGAAGCGGGCGTGCAGTGCTGACTCTGAGAAGCCTATGCCGAAATTGCTTGAGCCGAATTCTTGAGCCCAAATGGCTACGGCACCATCGTGGAACCTTGTCCTAAGCTGTCTGTGTCGCCTGAATTCGCGTGCTGCCGTGGATGGCCGTCTTCCGCCGGGCTCCGCCTGTGACCATAGCCAGATTTCGAAGGGGCCCCCCCAAACCCCCGAGTGACACACATCGAAAACTCCTCCATTTTGGACGTCCGAAATGGGCCCAGAAAAATGGATACAATGCCCAACAACAAATGTTGCCCCAAACCGGCAGCGGCCGCGGCTTTGTTGTCTTCAATGAACAACGTCCGCGGCGGCGCGGACAGCGAATCCTGTTCAAAATGTGCAAGAACTGTTATTGGGCATCGTGCCTACTCTTTCCGTACCGCACCCATTCTTTCCGTACCCGTTTCGATCGTCCCGATCCGCAAGGCCGGGGAACAATCACGACCTCGGACGTATTGGTCCCAAGATCCCGAGAAGCGGACAGGGATACGTAGCACCCCGCCGTTTCGGATGAGAGTGAGGGGGGCGGCAGGGTCGTCGGCAGCCTGCGAGGCTCTGACGAAGCCCGCCGCAGGCGCCAATGTTTTAACACATTGCACAACCAGCCCGGGCGGGTGGGTCGCGGGTGGGTCGAGGGGTGGGTCGCGGGGTGGGTCGGGGGGGGGTCTCCGGCGGGACGCGAGCGAGGACGAGCGAGCTTCGTCACGCCGCCCATCTGCGCGCGGCTCACCCGGCGGAAAAGCGCCTTCACCGCCTCTGGGTCCGCGCCGTTGGTGAAAGACCTGTCCTCGATGAGCCTGTCGAACTCGTCCGGGCCCACCGGCCACCCCACCCCTTCCCAGACGCTGTCGCCCCCGCCCCCTGCCCCAGCTCGGCCACAGCGGACCACTTCGCCTCCGAGCGCCATACCTGCTTGATCTGCTCCGCGGACCAGCGCTCGTACGTCGTCCAGCCAGCCTGGTCGTAACGAGCCGCACTCGCGCGCGCTGCCCCGCTCGCGGGGGTGCTCGGTGAGCAGCAGGACGGTGGTGACCCCGAAGACGCCACCAAGGGGCCCCCTAAGAGGCCCCAAAGGGCTACCTCAGAGGCACCCAAGAAGCTCCAATACGCCTCCCAAGCGCGGGCGAGAGAGACCCTGATACGCCCCAAGAGACCTACCTCTGAGAGTTCAAGGCGGTCTCCGCTGGGCATAATGCCTGAAGGGGCTGGCGGTAATACGCGAAACGTTAAGAAACTCCAGCCTCGACCATGGGCTATGGCCCTTCCGCTGAGCTCGCGGGCTTGTTTGTTGGCCGTGCTTTCACCGTGAGACGTTGGGAGTCGTTTGAAGGAGCTGATGAGGAGAAAGGAAGCCTGCTCTCCCTCCCCGGTGCGCAGCAAATAGGTCCTACACCATTGCCCTCTCCTGCCTCCCCTTTCTCCCTCCCTTCCCTCCCTCCCTGCCAGTAAACAGCCAAAACGGTGCAGAATCGATGGGCCGTTTGACTGTTGCCGTTTCCACATGCTCGCGGTTGCGGCATGCCCGTTGGCAAAATCGGCGGGGGGGGGGTTCGAGCAAGGCAGGAAGGAGTAGAATGGAAAGTGGCGGAGGAGGGGAGACGCAGGGAAAGGCAGGGACGAGGGTGTGGAGAAATGGGGGGAGGGACACAACCAATATGTGCTGTCTGACTCTGCCTTCGCTCTCTGGACACGCAACATGCCTCCACGCTTTCATCGTTGTTTTATGACTTGTATGGGCCGGCAACCCTGACGCCTTCATAGCGCTTGGACGTGGTGTGCGCTTGAACGGGGTAAACTCTGTTTCCTGCCCCCTCTATCATCTCCGTCGTCCTCCTCCTTCGATCCCACCTGCCTCCTCCTCCTTCCCCTGCTGCTGCTGCTCCTCCTCTTCCTCCTCATTCTCCTCCTCTCCTACCCATCTCCCGGTTCATCCCTCTTCCCTCGATCCACTCTCCTCACTTCTCCATCCCCCCATCGCCCTCCTCCCTCACTCCTGCCTCCCCGCTTCTGCTGCACCGTCTTGCCATGCAGAATTTTGAAGGGAATTCCACTTCCGTGCTCTCCCAGGGTGCCCTGCACTCACTGGCCCAGACGCTCTCTGCAGCCTTTTCCCGCTCGCGCAGCGACCAGTCCGCAGAGCTATGCGGTTCGTACGCAGACACCCTGTAAGTTGAAAGGAGCACGCGACAGAATATGCACAGACCTCCATGCTCCGTTGCATTGCCCAATCGCCGGCTCATCCGGCAGTTGCCACAACACAGTATCCGAGCGCTGCTGCTTCTTCCATGCCTGGGTCACCCCTCTTCCCGCTGGCTCCAGATAGAGCAAGATGCGCCAAGATGGCTCTCGAGATGCTCCAGGAGGCCCCGAGAACGCTCCAAGACGGCTCCAAGAGACCTCCGAGACTCCCAATGAGGCTTCCGAGAAGTCAAAATCCTTCAACAACTGTAGCCGACTGAATCGGGAGCGGCCAAGAGGGGGGTGTCCAAGAGGGGGGGGTGCAAATCATGACCAGCGGCATGTGCGCGGCCCAGCGGGGGGGCCAGGGACATAATGAAATAAGAAGAGGCGTCACGAAATCTGGGGAGATATCATGGCCCCCGCCATGATATCCACCCCCCCTACTCATCACCCCCCTCTTTTCCGCCCCCGAAAACTTCTGGGTCTTGGGTGGGCCGGGGAGTTCTTTGGCTCCTCCGCCCCCCGCCTCCCTCCTCCCACTTCCCTCTCGCCCCTTGCGCTCCTCCTCCGTCCCGCCCCCCCTCCCCCTGCCCACCCCCTCCTCTGCCCCCTATCCAGACCGCTCCGCTTCCTCTTCTCCTCCTCCCTCCTCGACCTCCTCCTTCTCCGCCTCCTCTCCTCCTCCTCCTCCTCCTCCTCCTCCTCCTTCTCCGCCTCCTCCTCCGCCTCCTCCTCCTCCTCCTCCGCCTCCGCCTCCTCCTCCTCCTCCTCCTCCTCCCTTCTTCCCCCCTCCTCCTACTCCTGCTCCTCCTCCTCCTCCTCCTCCTCCTCCTCCGCCTCCTCCTCCTCCTCCTCCTCCTCCTCCTCCCTTCGTCCCCCCTCCTCCGCCTCCTCCTCCTCTTCCCCCCCTCTCCTTCTTCGCCCCCCCCTCCAGCGCGTGGCGGAGGCTGGCCCTGCGAGCTGCGGAGGGCTCCATGGCCTCTCCGGAGCGCCCCCGGGCCACCCTCCTTCTGTGGGGGGGCCGCGGCCCCGGAAGCGGGCCTCCGCGGGGCGACCCGTGGCTCCCTTCCCAGACCCCCTCGAGTTTTGAAAAAATCATGACGGGAGGTTTCCCTTCATTTTCAGCCTTTGGAGGCCCGAACCGGCCCTCGGGACCGTCAAAAAACGATTCAGGATGAAAAACCGGTCCCGGGGAATGGGTCGAGATCTCTGGGGGTCGACGTAATGAAAAAATCATGACGTCGGGGGTCTGGGTTTCCAGGACGTGTGAGGCTCCCGCTGCCGCCTCCACAAACTTGCCGGCCTCGAACGTATCCCCATCCCTAAGATTGGCACGCCCAGAGGCGATGACTATCTTAGGGACCCGCCCTCAAAAAATGAGGGGATCCCTAGGACTGGCATCGCGATGAGGAGATGCCCAGCACAGGGATAGGGATACAGTGAGCGGCTTGAATAAGGAACACTTACTTTTCAAAAGGGGCTCGGTCGTTCCTTAGGTTTGCATGCGTTATGTACATTTCTTTATGCGTTATTTGCTATTTATCGTTCCTTATGCGTTATTCCTTGGGATAAAAAAGGGGCTTCGTTCCTTATTTATCGTTCCTTAGGTCAGGCCGATGACTGTATGTTCCAGGCTGGTAAACAGACGAAGGCCTGCGGGCGGTGGAGTGACAATGCAGGAGCACGCTGACACGGAGCACGGATCCGTGGATCTGGCGCGTGGGCGGAGGGTGCACGGATCAGGGGAGGCGCTGCCAAGGAAGCCAATGCCGCCGCATGTGGCGACGAGGCGCGCAGCACTCCGTGTGCGGAGGCGGGGCCCGTCGCGAATCCACGCGTCTTGAAGCTGTGCTGGCGACTCCTTGAGAGGTGGGCTGCAACAGGCTGCTGCCCCTGGAAGGAAACCTGCAACCCTCTTCCCTCCTGCTTCTCCCTCCCTTCCTCCCTCCTCCCTGTCTCCTCCCCCTCCCTCCCTGCCTTCCCCTGTTCGTTTCCTCTCGTTCACCGAAGGAGTCTTCATCATGTTTCTCATGCTTATCTCCCCCTGCCCCTCCCCCCTTCCTGCTCCTCCTCCTCCTCCTCCTAAAATCAGTGAAACCAGAAGTTGAGACCAGTGAACTTGCGAGTTCACTGATTTTCCCCAAACCACCTGCCTCCTCCTCTTCCTCCTCATACTCCCATCAGTCCTCGTCCTCTTCGAACTCCCTCTACCCCCCTCCTCACCCTCCTCCTCAAGCCACCCTTCTCGCTGCTCTCTTCTCCAACTCCCTTCTCTGTCCTCCTCCCCGTTATTTCCAAATCTTCTGTTCTACCTCCTCCCTCCTCTCCCTCTCCACCCTCTCCTCTCCTTCGTTTGATCTTCATCCTGCTGATGTCCCCTCCTTATCCGCAGACGATTGTAACCACTCATTTTCCTACGACTCGTGCTTCTCCAATCTCCTTCATCCCCCATCCACCTGCGAGTAGCCTTCTACACATCCACCTTCTCACCATTCCTCGTCGCAGCCTTCTTCCTTCATCGCCCACGTCGGCACGCGCGAAGTGACCGACCGCTCGCCTGTACTGGCATGGCCTGCATTGGAGGACGGCTCCGTTGGCTATCCCCGAAAGCATGTAGAAGCCTCCCTCGGATGCTGCTCGAGCCAGCATAACCACATACATACTCCTCATCGCCTGCATTTGCAGGTGCCGACCACTCATAAGCCAACACCCAACTCTACCAGAAAACACAAGGCCGTGCAAGCTTCAGAAGAACTCGCTTCCAAAGCAAGGTTCAAGGACTGGCCTCTTGGCGAGGGCTACTGGGATCTCCTGAAGCTTTAGTGTACAATCCTAAGCGAGCGGAAGATCGTGGGGCAGTCCTGAAGCTTTAGTGTACAGTCCTATGCCAAACTGCATAATCATGGGACGATCCTCGGCTTCAGAACACTGGCACTGACCTTGGCAACATGCGTAGGAGAGGCAACCCGGCTTGCACGTGAGAGCTGCTCGCGAATCGGCCACCCAACATTCCTGCTCGCGCGAACCTGGTGTTACCTTGACCCCCGACCTTTGAGCGCAGGCTGGCATGACTCGCGAGACAAAGATGGGAAGGCGAAAACCCACCCCCACCCCCAGTCCCGACCCTCATCTCCGAACCCGCGATTCAAGGAGTCGGGAATGGGGGCGGGGGTGGGTTTTCGGGGCCCAGGAGTGGAGAAAGCCCGCCCCCACCCCCAGCCCCGACCCCTTGACTCGCCGGCTCGAGGATGGGCGTCGGGACTGGGGGTGGGGGTGGGTTTTCGACTTCTGAAAAGAAGGGCAAAGAGGAGGAGGAGGAGGAGGAGGAGGAGGAGGAGGAGGGGGATGAGGAGGAGGGGGAGGAGGAGGAGGAGGAGGAGGAGGAGGAGGAGGAGGAGGAGGAGGAGGAAGAGGAGGAGGAGGACGAGGAGGAGGAGGAGGCAGGCAGAGCGCACTGCGTTGGGTCCCGTGCTGTCCGACCCGGGGCCCACGGAGGCAGTGCCAGAAGGGGTGACAAGGACGAGGGACGCGAGAGAGACCCGACGCGGGAGGGGCGGGGGGGGCTGAGGAGGCCCAGGGACACAAATTCGCCGGCCCAACGGGCCAGAGTCGTGCTAAGATCTCCGGTAACTACTTGACAGTATTTCCAGTTCGCGCGCGCGGGGCGGCCCCTGGGGGCCCCCGGACGAAAAAACAACCCGGCTGACCCCCGGCCGGGTCCCGGGCGATCCCCAGGGGGGAGGCTATTTTTCGCCACCCCTCACGAGGATCGTGGCCTCCGAGGGGGTGGCTGCAATCGACTACCCCCCCCTCCCGCCCCAAGGGCCCCCCAAGAGCCCCCCCCCAAGAGCCCCCCAAGAGGCCCCAGGGGAGCCCAAGACGCCGCCAAGGAGCCCCAAGACGCTCCCAAGAAGCCCCCAAGAGGCCCCCAAGACGGCCCCAAGAGGCCCCAAATGGCGCTCCAGGGCCGGCGGAATGAGCGAAGCGATTAAATAAACAGGCGCAGATCCCAGGATCCCTCATTTTGTTCCACAGTTTCGGGAGTTTCATCTTCCCCCCCCCCGCTTCCTACAGTGTCCCACCTTCCCCTGGGAATCGGCGATTCACTGTCTCTGTATGTCTCTGTTGCCGCCCAGAGAGGCGAGAAGCAGGCGCGAGGAGGGAGGGGCACATGGAGCGGGGGAGGAAGCGAGGAGGGAAGCCCTGTGAGGCGCTTCGGGCCACTCCTGGGACCCTTTTTGGGGGGACCTCTCGGCCTGCTGCACCAGCTTAGGGCTTCGTCTCGCTACGTCCGGAGCGCGACACAAGTCTGGACGCTGTGGGGCTTACTGGGGGCCGCTGGACGGCCTGAGGAGGAGGATGAGGGCAAGGAGGAGGAGGGGGAGGAGGAGGAGGAGGAGGAGGAGGAGGAGGA